ATCTTTAAATTGTATTGTTTTTTAAATCAAACGTCATTTTACTTTTTACTATTATTATTATTATTATTATGTCGTTTTCGAATTTCTTTCATCGGCCTACTATTTCTCTAAGAAACTTGTGAACTATCACTCACTCTATCTCCTTCAGGCCCTCTCTTTCTCTCACTCTTTCACTCTCTCACTCTTTCACTCTCTCTCTTTCTCTCACTCTTTCACTCTCTCTCTCTCTCTCTCATCTATATATATATATATATATATATATATATATATCAGTCAGTTATGTGCCATACGAATGACTGACGAAGCAGATTTTTTCCCGCAGTAGGTTGCCATTTCTTTCTGCAGTAGACCAGTTACCATCCAAGGCAAAAGAACCCGGTCTGTGCTGCTATTTATCCATAGCTGGGGAGGTGGAGAAGAAACGGATTCATACCTTTCCCAAGGGTATTAGCACGTAAGTGAATGTAATAGATTCGACTGGAATTCGAACTCGGCTCTCCGATTCCTCCGAGCCGCTATCCATTACTCCGCTGTGCCTCCTCTGCTATATATATATATATATATATATATATATATATATATATATAATTATTTATTTAAAAAATTATAACATAAATATGTTATAAAATCACTACAAAAATAGTCATTTTGTTTCAACACCTCCGGTGTCTTATCAAGTGATGATGCTGAATGTAAAATAAATGGTTTTAAAAGTTTCAAATTAATTAACGATCCTTCGCAAGGGGAAAACGTTGTTATAAAAGCTAGAATGACCAATCAAAATACAAGTATAGGAAAATTCAAAAAGCTTGACAACGAAGTCATGTTATAATAGCTATTCAGATCTTTAAAATAGGGGTAATATTAAAAAAAGAATTTATTCTAACCAATAATTATTAAATTATATGATAAAATTTGATATTAAAATTAAAAGTAAAAATTACCAATTTTAAAATTCAAATTTATCTCTATTAAGTTTAAAATCATAAAATTACTGAGGAGAAAAGAAGTAATACAATTTATTTCTTCATTGAAATTACGTTATGTTCTGTCTAAACATTATTGGAATCTTAAAGATAGAGGCTTAAAACCACAAATCAAATGGAGGACCATCTGTCAATCACAGACTCCCAAAAACTTCAGGGATAGATGCAGTCTATGTATAAAAGAGAAAATCATAATAATTAAGCATAAAAATGCTGATGAATTATTGAACCAACGGAACGAACTTATCTTCAAGTGTAGACACAAGAACCGATTTAAAATTCCTTTATAACATTAATTTTGGATAATTTATACTGGAAGCGTTGGCTATATGTTTTTTTTATTTTAATGTGTACTAACATGTATACATGGATGCATTCATCTTTTTTGCATATGATCATTTATGTGGTTTTCTTGCCTATATCGGTTATAATCTTAAATTTGAATTACTTTTTATTTTCTTTATCTATATTATTATTATTATTATTATTATTATTATCGATATATATATACATGTGTGTGTGTGTGAGTTTCACGACGCTTGACACTACATTTGAATGAAAACTCTAACATTTTTAGGCATTTAAAACAACATGCCTGCCCGCACACACAATTCCGCAAAAAATACTTGTCGAAAACACAATTATACTTCGACATGAAAACAATAGACAAAAACTAAAAATCCTTGAAGCATTATACATTAAACAGTTGAAACCCAACCTAAACAAAAACAACTATGGAATCTCTACAAATATCCTTAAATGTCTGTTATTGGTAACAGAAGCCATTGGTTTATACCAACGGCTTCCCATAGTTCATACTTCTCCAATTCACTCTCGCGTGGTCATGTGTGACGTCATGAGATGCGGTGCGATTTTCGCTTCTAGCGTCTTATATGCACGTGTTTATCATTGCTTAGAAATCATCTATGTAAACAATCACAGACTATCATCACTGTCTTGTCCGTATATTGCTTAATATGATGTAATTGACATCTTTGATAATGGCTTATGTAAGCCGAAAGCTTTGATTGTATTAAAAAATATGGATCAATAATGTGAATTTCTTTCTTCGTTTAATGATAATGTTATTAAACTTATCACACGTTATGAAAAGAATTTACATAGAATAAATAGACAATATTTGTCTATATTATTTAATGAAACGTGTATGAATGAAAAGATGCTGCCTAAATACACAATATATATATATATATATATATATATATATATATATATATATATATATATATAATTTAGACTGTCTGTATCCGCAGGAAGTGGTTTTAGAGTGACTCTCCAGTTATCATGAATCTCTGTTCTGCTAACTCCTTTATAGAAAATGGCTTTTGGATTTTGCAGACAACTGTGCGTATCTCCTTATATATTTTAATTCATTCCAAGAATACTTCTGTACTGTAAATCGTTGTCTGTGCTCCGTGGCTGTCCAGAACCTGGTCTAAAGGTGTAGAAATGATTACGTGACAACTGTTACCAACATCAAAGTATCAACAATCATCCGTCAGCCTCTGAAAACCTCACAATCCGACGTTTTTCAAACGGTTCTATTTGAACAGAAAAAAAGCACGTGTGTGTCTCCGTAACATGTCACCTGCTTGCACTGAACTTAGTCAACACAATATACCAGTCAACGTCAACTTTTATTCAGATCTGTCATTTGTACACCAAATCTCATGTTTGGTGCCAAATCTGACCCACCTCTCGAAATTTTCTTTTGCTGAGGTATCCAAGACCTGGTAGATATTATTTCGAAACAGCCTTGGCTCAAGTCAGGCCTCTATCCTGTCTCTGTTGCTCACGGATACTTTTTAAATCTCTAAAAAAGAATAAAAATTGTAAAGAATTGATAGTTCCCCAAAGGAATCAATCGAATTATTTTTTTTACTCGATACACGGTAATTGAACAAAAATTCCGAAATTCAAAATCCTCCAGGCCCTAAGTTTTACCATAAGACATTGTGTATCTGTGCGTGTGTAGGAATGCTTGTTTGGTTGGTTTATTTTACGGTATATCAACCTCAATGGTTTGTTAAATACCGAGATTTTTAGGACAACTTCGTATGAATAGAATATGTATTCTTTGAAAGAAATCAGTTTGTAGATCAGGTTTCATTGAAGTATATTTTTAAAGAGGGTTTTTCTCAAGAAGTAAATGTATTGCTAGTAATAATTTTTTGTTATTATATTACTGGTAATATTTTTTTCCAAAAATGTATTGCTGTTTTTTTTAATACAAAAATCTATTTTTATACATTCATACTGTTTTGACACAAGTTGAGGGGGTAACTATTTTCCCATTGCTGGGACCCTAACAGGCACTACCACTCCTGAAAAGCTTAAATTGAGCGATGTAATCTTCACTGCATATATATTTGTATTTTAGTCATTCTTTTGCCTTTCTCAGATGTATATTACATAAAACTATTAATACCTTTCTTTCTTTGCCAGATTTTTTTAGTAAGTACCACGAATCATTTCAAGATAGATCAATAAATACGTGTGACTGCTGTACACTTGCATTTTTTCATAGAGGAAATTACGATTTAAAACACTTAAGATTAGTTCACTCGAAATTCTATCTGAGTAATTTCTTGTGATCTATCTTTAAAAAAAAGATAATAAAGACTGACCACGGACCGGGTTTGGTAAAACCACAGAAATATAAAGGAAAGGTTTGAACGGAACTGTCCCACTGTATTTTTTTAATCGGTATCATCCCATGGAAGGCAATAAAGCCACTGGGAAAGTAACTGAAGCCGAGCCGCCAGATCAGGTCCAATAATATTGCTGATTCTTCTTTGGACTTTATCAAAGAGCTCAAGGTAAATAATAGTCTGATATGCTACAAAGTCTTTTATGTTCCATGCTGTTTGCTTAAGAATTGTAAACTTTATAGTAAGTGACCTGAGAAATGTGATAAAAAGCAACAATATAAGATAGAAGAAAAACTACAATTAATAAATTAATTTTGATTTCATTTTGTCTAGTATTTCTTTCTTCTTTAGTGTCAGTCTGCTTTTTTCAGATCGTCAATCTATGGCCGTTAGTAAACAGCGTAGATCGTAAAAAATCCTCCGAGAAGTAATTTTAGCGCGACATCTGTACTAGCAGTCGTACTACAGAAGCCAACTATTTCTTTTCTTTTTATGTGCCATGTCCTTTCTGGACGTAGGAGATCGTGGCTCTGCACCTCCCTCTATCCTTTGCAGCTCTTAACAACTTTCTTCCCTCTGCCATCTCCCCCAGACCATGTTCTGTCATCCACTTGCTTAAGGCCGCTAGGTATGTAATCCGTTGTTTTCCATTGTCTCTCTTTTCATCTATTCGACCCGTGCGTATCTAAATTCTACAGGCCCTCATTCCTCATTATGTGTCCCAGAAACTTCAGCTGCCTCTTACTGATGTTAAGTATAAGCCTCCTCCTTGTTTGCATCCTCTCTAAGACATCATCGTTGCTCACACGCTCGGTTCATGATATCCTTAGCATCCTTCTGTAGAACCACATCTCCGTCGCCACGAGTCTCTTCTTCATCTTTGAGGAAATCGTCTTACATTCGCTACCGTAAAGAAGGACAGATGTCACGTAACAGCTCAGTATTCTTTTCTTTGTTACCAAAGAAATCCTCCTGTCTCGCAATACTCTGCCCAGCTTTTGGAATGTGTTCTTGGCCATCCCAATATGTCTACGGATCTGAGTGTCGCATTTACCGTCCTCTGTCAGGACGCTTCCCAGATATTTAAACTTCTGCGTCTGCTTCATTTCTAATGTTCCCGAAATGCAACTCGCATTTAAGTTTCATCCTCTTAATGATGACCATGCATACTGTTTTCTTGTAATTTATGCATAGTCCTTTCTTCTCACTCTCTGTCGATACCTTCTGTAGGAGATTTTACAAGCTGAAATCTACCCACTTGACTTTGATATGTTTTCCCGTGAGTTTTTGATATTTTACAAGCACGAGCAACAGCCATATTATTATTTTCTTGAATTTCCAGTCAGTTCAATTTACTAACTGCCTGATGAATAATGCAAGGAACTGCCGAAGAATGATGCAAGGAACTGCCGAAGAATAATGCAAGGAAATGCCGAAGAATGATGCAAGGAAATGCCGAAGAATAATGCAAGGAACTGCCGAAGAATGATGCAAGGAAATGCCGAAGAATAATGCAAGGAAATGCCGAAGAATGATGCAAGGAACTGCCGAAGAATAATGCAAGGAAATGCCGAAGAATGATGCAAGGAAATGCCGAAGAATAATGCAAGGAACTGCCGAAGAATAATGCAAGGAAATGCCGAAGAATAATGCAAGGAACTGCCGAAGAATAATGAAAGGAACTGCCGAAGAATGATGCAAGGAACTGCCGAAGAATAATGAAAGGAACTGCCGAAGAATGATGCAAGGAACTGCCGAAGAATAATGTAAGGAAATGCCGAAGAATAATGTAAGGAACTGAAATTAAACGAAATAAATACAAGTCGAAAATTAACAACTAGAATTTTCTTTACTAAATTCTCTAACAACCAAGTATAAAAATAATCTTAAGTTTATGCCATTTTACGAAAGGGAAACAGATTCTGAACGGGAGTGGTGGTTTCAAGAAAAAGCAAACAAACAGAATGAGCAAACGAGTTTCCGCTGGGTAAGGAATTTCATTAAATATTCACTCTGCCTTGTACTCCTTTTTTTTTCTTTCTCTGTGTGTGTGTGCACGCGTGCGTGTGTGCGTGTGTTACGTGAGCAGTGACGATTACTGTGAATGCCGGAAATCTTGAGCAGTGTTTAGCGACTCCAAGTCGTTAACTTCCAACGAAATTCAAAGATGAATGGAGATGTGCTTGCCTCGTTTCATATCCTGTGAGGTCCAGCTGGTTTTCTTTAAAATCATCCAAGGCTTCTACACACTTAGATTCAATAGTAAACTTTGTTTATATACAACAGCGTTCATGTAAAACACATGTTAACTTAAACAGAGCGATTTCTTTTTTCTATTGTCTATAAGAAGTTAAATCAACGAAGCTTGGACGAATTTCAATGTTAAATTCAGAAATCTATAGCGCATCCAATTAAAACTAACCAACACCTCTTTGATTCAATTTTCGTCTGAATGAAAGCTCGATTTTTCAAAGAGAAAAATAAAACCTGAAACCTGTGTTGTTCTCGTTAAATTCTAGATATTTACAAAGTTTAGCTGAGTCCAGTCGAAAAGCAAATGGAAATAGAAAGATTATTTTCAATCTTCTGGGAGTAGAGCTTGCAGGTCCTAAGAATTACCATTTAAAATAGCTGGCTTTTAAAAAAGCGTTTTTTTTCCCCACTGAGTATTGACACCAAGACGGAAGGGAAAAGACAAGCTGCTTAATGACTTTTTTCGATTATATTTACAAAACTTGGTCTGGCACAAGGCCAAATCAGGGGGAGTATTGAGTCAAAGATTGTATTATGTCAATATTTCAGGTATAGAAATCTTGGAACGTCAGTATTCAAAATCTTAGTTTTAGCTGTGCTCGAAAACATTTAGTGAGGAATGTTGAATTTTAAATCTAAAAAACGGATGACAGAACTAATTTCAACATTATTTACATTATTCGAACTATTGTCCTCATCTTTGTCGTCATATTTATTACAACGTTTCGACTGTTGTACGCTCCGGCCTTCTTCAGGTGGTTGGAATGTCGAACTGAACCCTTTATTTCGCTCACTGGGGTAGACTGTTCTAGTTCCACGTGCCATGTTTAATGGATATCAGTTATCAGTTAGCTCCTGTTAATTTCCTCTGAAAGTTCTCCACTGCCTTAACCGGGTATTGAACTCACACTCTTTGGGTCCTCTCACAGGATCTAAACCAAGGCCTTTATCCACTGTACCATGTGTCCTTGAGGAGATAACTGATAACTGACATCCATTAAACATGGCACGTGGAACTAGAACAGTCTACCCCAGTGAGAGATTTAAAGGGTTAAGTTCGACATTCCAACCACCTGAAGAAGGCCGGAGCGTACAACGGCCGAAACGTTGTAATGAATATGGCGACAAAGATGAGGACAATAGTCCGAGTAATATAAATAATGTACATAATACCTCATCTCAGAAATATAGACAGAAACTAATTTCAACTCGGAACCTCAAAAGGGTAATTTGAATTTCAAGCCCCGCGCTCAGTTTCTAATAAAAATTTCCCGAATAATTCCCTTTAGGTGTAAATGTACCATGCTTAATTCGAAAATAACAAAGAAATTTTGATAAAATCTACCGCTATGGAGTTATCGACAATAAAATTTCGGACTCATTCACGTCGCGGTTGGTGAAGTTGAAATTAATTCTGCACACCGAAAAAACAGGCTACGGAGCAAAACACTTAATAGTCATTACTGGTTAGCTTAGTATGATACATCGTATAAAGAAGTTAGAAAATCATTGTTTTACGACAACCTCTCTGATGGGTAAAGTTTGTCTTTAAAAAAACCTTTAGCTTTTATTCAGGTTCGAAAATCGCCCAGTGTTGCCAGTTGAATATTTGCAACAGATCCCTCCGCCAAACAGGCCGTGGAACTATTTTCTTAATTTATTTTACAATTGTGACATAAGTACGATCAATCCCCGAGATAATGAGACTTGATTGATTTTGTTTTGTGGCATGTCAATATCTTTATTGGTTATTTAATACCGAAATCTAAATATAGTGCAGTGCATAGGTCCAGTGGGGTGAGGATACTTGTTTTCGCTCCAAGAAATATTTCTTATTTGGTTTGCGATTCAAACAATTCCAATTAAAACCAGAATCATTCTTTTATGATAGAATTCACAGATATTGAGAAAATACTTTGAATATGACCAAAACTTTTGATATGCTCTTCCCACCAAAGTAAAACCTGATTTGGTTGGTACATTCCTGTGACATGCATTTTTGTGTATATGTGTAACGTATATGTGTAACGTATATGTGTAACGTATTAAGTGGGCGAAAAGTTTGTTCGCGTTGAATTATGTCAATTCTTTTTTTTTTTTTTTTTTTTTTGTCAATTTCCGATTCGGTTCTAAAAACGAAATAACACAACTAAAGAATTTTCTAGAAATATATATGCAATTTATTATTCCGAATATGATTATCTTTCCACTGGAGCCTCTCTTGTTGATTCTGGGACGACGCCTTGACAACTTTGCTATCAGTTTGATAAAATTCTGTCAAAATAATAGAAATACAGAAAGCTGGCTTTCAAAAGCTGTCATGAATTTGCAAGTGAAGTTTTTTTTTGTTTGTTTGTTTTTTATCAGCTTCAATTATGTTATTGAAAATTAAGAACAGAAGTCAGGCTTTTCTGAAAACAAAAACCGGTGCAGGTTTTTCACAAAACCTATCAGCGTTTAAACATTTACGAAAGGAGAATGGAAATGTTGCTACTCCAATTCCCACGTGTAAAAGTGTGCCTTCCTTGAAAATCAGCTTCTGAAATCCTGCTTTTTACCTAGGCACGACCCATAAAACAATTCTTAAAATATACGTTCCTTGATATTTATTGAAAATTTGTTTGATCTGTCGCGATGTCATATAAAGGGATTCATTTCCTTTGCATTTTTTTTTAATGTATCTGCCGTTCAAAAGTTGGAGCGCAGATCAGGTTACGACAGGACCCTCAGTCAATGTTTACCGAATAGATCGTTTAACACCACGCAGAGTTTCGAATCCCGTTTCATACTGCCTTAACCGACAGGACACATGGCACAGTGGATAAAGGCGTTGGTTAGATCCAAGGACAGGACCCAAAGAGTGTTAGTTCAATACCCGGCTAAGGCAGTGGAGAACTTTCAGAGGGAAATTAACAGGAGCTAACTGATAACTGACATCCATTAAACATGGCACGTGGAACTAGAACAGTCTACCCCAGTGAGCGAAATAAAGGATTAAGTTCGACATTCCAACTACCTGAAGAAGGCTGGAGCGTACAACGGCCGAAACGTTGTAATAAATATGGCGACAAAAATGAGGACAATAGTCCGAATAATGTAAATAATGTACATAATATCTCATCTTCTTCGTCTATATTAAAAACACAGTCCTACCTTATGCTACTACTACTACTACAGTACAATCCCATACTGTAGTTATATAATCTTCTCCTTGACTGGTTGCCAACCAAGAATAGAGAGCCCGGTCAACCTTGCTCTTGACTCATAATATCTTACATGCGGGTTTTGTACGAAAGTTTCATGCTCGACCAGAACTCAAATTCTTCTCGAATTTCCAGTCGCTAACCAATACATTACCTATGTGGGTTATCACACTTGGCTTTGCCAAAATGACTACTAGGTGTCGCTCTTTAAGCTTATAAATAGGCAATTATATTCTCTCTATTTTTAGCACTGACTTTCATATGTAGCCGCTGAGGCGCGTTCGCTTCCTTGGTCCTCTGTTTGACTTTTGAATTCTCTCGCACACGCACATACACATACGTGCTTATCACACACGCATGTTACACACAAACAAGCACACTCTTATAATGAATTTTAATGTTTTCTTTCTTTCATTACAATTGCGTACACATATAATTCCTTTTGTTAATAAAATACATTGTTATTTGAGTCATATTCATTGTTTTGTTTGTTCTTTTTCACCCGAACTCACACTGAGTCCGCCAATATTGTTTGCGGAATAAATGTTCCAGGGGCCCATAAATATTTATTATCCAAAGTGTTGATTCCCACAACATAATGGTGACTTATTTCTACCCAAACATCATACTAGTATCCGGCAACACCTACATCCCTTACAGGGTGCGATGGATAAATTGTCGCCTAAATTACACAAAAATGAAAAAAACACTGACATCTCATTTTAAGAGATATATTTACCAAAGTTGCACAAAAATATCTTGAAATGCTAAAAAGTAGATTTATTTCATCAAATCGCCATTGGCTTCAATCACGGCCTTCAGACAACTTTGGAAACTCCTGCAACTCTTCTGGAGAGTCTCTTTGTTTAAGTTTTTAAATGCTGCCATAATCCTTGTCTTCAGTCCATCTTTCGTGTTACAGGGAGTTTCGTTGGTCTCTCATTCAACTGCGCTCCACACATAATAATCAAGAGGGTTTCAGTTTGGAGAGTTAGATATCCAGATGTAAGGGGTGACATTGTCGCAAAAATTGCCTGACAACTATTATAGGTTTCTCCAGCTTGTGCAGCATGGTGCAGAATCCTGTTGCCAGGCATAGGGTCTTCCAACAGCCACCTTCTTGGCCCAAGACAGCATTACCTCCTCAAGGCACTTGATGTAGGCCTTCGTGTTGAGTCTGAGGCCCTGACCAACAAAATCGGGAGTTCTTTTCTTATCAGAGTTTTCCGAGCTGCCGTATCTTCATAAGCACCATTAGACTCATTCAACACTTTCCGAATTCTCTGCACTGTTCTCAGATTGATACCCAAACACTTTGAAATGTTCGTATTGGAGCTTCCG